TCCAGGCCCCTCAGCGACAGTGAGGGCTGCGGCCGCAGGAGGGAGGGACGCTCAGTCTGTGGAGGACAGGAGAGAATACGATCAGTGGACACATTCTGTCCTGCACTGGAACAAGATGATAATCGAGAGCCTACAGACGGGCAGGCACTGAGGCCCGACGTCCGGAGGTGTGAGGTGACATTGGGGTGTGACCTTCCAGCAGCAGCACAGGACTGAGTGCAGGATCCAGTGACCTCCCAAGCCATAGTTTCCGACGTGGGTTACGGGAATAGGACTCATCTGTCCTTCGTTCACTCAGACCACTGTGCCTACGACCTTGGGTAACCCCGGGAAGCAGGAGGGCAACGTGGGTTATGGGAATAGGACTCATCTGTCCTTCATTCACTCAGACCACTGTGCCTGCGACCTTGGGTAACCCCGGGAAGCAGGAGGGCAGACAGACCCAGCTACTGTCCCCATGGGGAGAAGCAGCTGCAGGTTTGTGTAAATAAATACATGGTGTGGTTATATCCCAAGAGAGATGTGCTCCAAATAAACGACTGGGAGGGCCAGCCCCTTAGCCTAGTGGTTAAAGCAGCGGGATCCCACATGGCCACACCCAGCAGCTTGAGAAATGCAGGGTGCAGACGCCTGCTCTCCCAAATCCTGCAAGGAGGGACAGATGTTAGAGAAGGGGTTGTGCTGTGGTCATCCCCCAGGGGGTGCTTTCTCCTTTCCCTTCTCAGGCAACTACACCTGCCTTCTAGCAAAAACAAACAAACAAAAACAGTTGCGGATGAGATTAGAACCAGGACTTCCACTGTGGTGGAGGGTGTGGGAGCTTGTCATATTTAACCCAAGACCTGCAGCTATACACAGCTGTCCAGGCAGAAGGGAAGGCCCATGCAAAGGCCCCAAGGTAGTTCTGTGGCCTGTTTGAATCTCTAGATGGAGGGACCAGCAGTTGGCATAATGGCTATGTCGCTGGAGTCCCACGTAATAGATTGACTGCAGTTCAAGTCCCAGACCTGGTGGCTTAAACTCACACTGGGCATGTGTGCATGCGTGCCCGAGATCCTGAAAGAAGAATGGAGGAGAAGGGATTGAGGCATGGCCATCCCACCCCCCTCCCGAAGGGGGGTGATTTCTCGCTTTCTGTCTCTCTCTGTCTTTCTGGCAAGAGGCCTGCAGGTGGCGTGGTTGTGAAGGCAGTGCTGGACTCCCATGGACTGACTGTGGTTCAGGTCCCAATTGGGTGGTTTACTTTCTCATTGTCCCTCTCTCTCTCTCTGGGTCAAAATTTTAAAATAGTAATAATGCTGCTGATGAATAAAACTGAATTTTAAAAAAAGTAGGTCAGTGACAGTAGACCCAGTGATCGAGTGGCAGGCAGGGGTCTGCAGACTGTTAGGGAGGGAGGGGCTCACTGGGCTGCACTGCTAGGGAGACAGGCTCCCACTCCTGCACTGCAGCACTATTGCCCACACGGCCCAGACGCCAAGTCATGGTGGGATGTCCTGGCAGTCATGCTGCTCGCAACTGCAGGGTGCCTGCTCGGTCAGTGTGCATGCACACTGTGAGCATCAGCGTTTCCCTGGAGCTGAGCTCCAGATGGGCTGCCCAGGGTACAGAGCAATCCAACAAGCACAGGAGAAGCTTCCAGAAGGAAACCCGACTTGACTTGCCCACGTGGTCATTTCTAAAGCCCACAAACCCTGAGGGCACTCAGCTCTGAGAGGTCAGGGGCCAGGCCCGGCTTCTCAGTTGGTTCCAGGACGCCTGGGCCTTGGGCCCTGAAGCTCTGCACCCACAGACTGGGAAGACTCAAATGGGACAGCAACCCACAGGGCATCAGCTGTGCACTGGGACGCACCTCCTGAGCCATAGCAGCTGCAGCTATTCTAGAGGGGGGCTAGGCACGAGATCTGCAGTTCCCAGAGGGACCAGCAGATGGCGTAATGGTTATGTCGCTGGGCTCCCATGTAGTCGACCACAGTTCAAGTCCCAGGCCCAGAGGCTCAAAACTCATGCCAGGCATGCGTGCATGTATGCCCAAAATCCTAGGAAGAAAATGGAGGAGAAGGGACTGCAGCATGGTCATCCCCCCTTGGTTGGGGGGTGGCGATTTCTTGCTTTCTATCTCTCTGGCAAGTGCATGTGCCCTATAGCAAAAATCTAAAATAAAAAATAAATAATAAAAAAAAAAGAGGTCCTGACAGCCACACTGTCCAATAATAATAAAAAAAAGAGGTCCTGACAGCCACACTGTCCCAAAACCATGATCACCACCCTCTTCCGGCTGTAGCAGTGGCCTGGGACCCAGCATCTCGCTGGATCTCCATTTGAGCCCCAAGTAACAGTTTCTACACTCATTTTCCAGGTGGGAAAGCTGAGTCTCGGGAAGCGAAGTGACCTGTGCAGGCTGAAGCCGCCACTGAAAGTCAAGAGCCACAAGCCGATGCTGCTTCCTGTCTAGGGCCCTTGGAATCAGAAAGTCCTGGAAAGATAAATGATTCTCCAGGTACAACAGGGCGAGGGCTGCCTCGGCCCCACCAGGCAGGGGCAGGAGGGTGGGCGCCTCCCATCTGGAGGGTGGTAGGCACAACTGCCCAAGGCCGGCACTTTATCCCTGGGTGGCCACCTGGCCGCCTCTGTCACCAGAGCAGCCACAAGGCACTGACCACAAAATGCCAGCGTCCTCTGATGCTCACTCCCTGGGGCAACAAGCAATTGGCCCAGCAAAGTTTTCTCCCACAGAGGAGGAGAACAAAGTCCAACAAGAGAACACACAGAAACCTTGGCAGAGAACAAAGCCTCCTGTTCCCATGGCGCCTTCACACACTCAGACCCCCACATTTGCTGACTGGTTCCTTGGGCTGCAGCATTCCCGCAGCTGCGGGCTGGCCCTGTCCCTTTAAGAGCCTCGAAGGCTCGGCAGGATCTGATTGAAGGGTTAAGAACAACTGCTTTAAGGCCGCCACTGTTCATAGAGGAAATTATTCTCTAACTGGGGCTGGCTCCTGACAGGGTTCATGTGACCTCAGCTGCAGGGGGCTGGGCCTGCATGCAGTCCCTTAGCATGGCAGGGGCCAGGGAAGGGCCTGGGCCCCTGGGGAACAGCCGCTGGTGACAGCTCAGCAGGCAGAGCAGCACCCCAAGATCTCCTTCACCCCAATACCCCAGCTTTAGAGCCCCCATGCCAGGTTTGAAGGGCCCAGGAGGAGGGCTGTGAGCTGGGACAGAGGCCAGGGCTGGCAGTAGGCACTGCCCTTTCCCAGGATCTGACCAGGGCAGAACACAAAGGCCTTCTCAGGCACCTCCATCCCAATACCAGCCCTCCCTATGCAAGTGCCTGCCAGGCTGCTTGGGTGCTGCTTCCATCCTCTGGCCTTCACACTGACCTGTCACCACCACCAGCTACAAGAAGACTCTGCCCCCATGGGACCAGCAAATGGCATAATGGTTTTGTCGCTAGGCTCAAACGTGATCAACTGTGGTTCTAGTCCCGGACCCAGTAGCTTAAAACTCATGCCAGGCCCATGTGCGTGCATGCCCAAAATCCAGACAGAGAGATGGAGCAGAAGGGATTGGAGCGTGGCCATCCCCCTGGGTAGGGGTGTGTGATTTCTCACTTTCTCTCTGTCTCTGTCTGTGAAGTGAGCATGTGCCTATGGCAAAAATCTCTCTTAAGAAAAAAAAAGGGGGGGGGACACCAGATCCGACCCTTCTCCAGCAGCTCCCTTCCCCTCACCATCCTCAGGACCTGGCTCAAGTCCCTCCTAGCTCCCGGTAAAGAGCAGATGGTATGTCTGTCAGCTGTCCAGTTACGGTCACCTCCACCTGCCTATCTGTCATGATCCAGGCGCCTACTTTTCAGCAGGGCCCACCTGCCCGGTGTGAGGAAGGAGCATCTCTCCACCTCACACGTGGAGGGAGACACAATGCACAAGCACTCCCCCAGGAACACAGCTGACCCAGGAAACCCAGGGCTCTCCACCTGCCGCCTCTGGTTTTCACTGGGACTCAGGGTGTGATTTTCTTTTTTTAAAGAGAGAAATTTTTCCAATAGGGCACATGTGCTCACCAGAGAGACAGAGACAGGTATGAGAAATCAGCCCCTCCACACACATTCACAAGAGGGATGGCCACGCTACAATCCCCTTCTCCTGCATTCTGCTCTTGCAAACACGTTCAGCTTGAGTTTTAAGCTGCCTGGCCCGGGACTTAAACTGCAGTCGACTACATGGAAGTCCAGCGATGTAACCATTACGCCATCTGCTCGTCCAAAGGGTATAGTCCTTAAGCACAGTGGAATCACCTGGGTGCTCAAAGAGGCTGAACTCTACCTGCTCCAGGCTGTGGTCTGGTCAGCACTCGCACAGGGAAGCAGGTGGCCTGGCCCATACCACCCTCAGCTTCTGCAAGGTAATCCGTGTCACCCTTGACACCATAGGGCTTGCAGTGGGGGGTCTCGGTCACCAGCATCAGTCAACCCGGAGACTGACAGGACCTACTTACACAATCGACTGGCCAATCATCCACGTCTAATGACATAGACCAAGGGCAACCACAGAACGTGAAGCTCACATGAGCCTCCCCGGCTGGTGGCTCTGCCTATGTGTTTCCACTTTCAATGCCAGGAGATAAAAGTGTCCTGATTGCATGGCGGGGGGCGGGGAGGAACCACCTTCCTGAACCCTGCCCGATTCCTCCCTAATCTGTAGCCTTTCCCCATAATAAACCGTAACTGTGAGCATGACAGCCTTCGCGAAGTGTGCAGTCCAGCAAATTACTGAACTTGAGGGTGGCTGGGCCTTGAGGGGGTCTGCCTAGTAATTGGTGCGTGTGTTTAAACCCTGCCCTCATGACACAGCATTATCAAAGCGCTCTCAGTGGGGACCACCGTGCGGGTCTAAGGTCACTGTCTACACTTTGCAGGGGTGCGTGATTTGCTCAAGGTCAACTGCAAGCCAGACACAGAGGTGACAACCTTTCCCAGAGTGGCAGCAAGCCAGGTGCGTTCATGCCCTCTCACCTAGGCTGCTAGCGCTCACCTGGCTGGGCTCCCGGTCCTCCTCAGGCGGGCAGGTGCTTCCAGGTGCTGACAAAGGCCGTGGGGATGAGGGAGTAGGGCACTGTGGTGATGCAGTTCCACGTGTCCGAAGTGGGGTCGTAGCAGTCCAGGGTCTTACACCTCTGGGTCCCGAAGTAGCCACCTACCACGTACAGTTTGTTGCCTGAAGCCAAGGCATGGCAAGACATGCGCTTGGCAGTCATGTCCCCGATCCGTGTCCACTGGTTGGTCTCGCAGTCAAAGCGGTAGGCCGAGGCGGCCGTGAACTCTGTGTCGCCGCCCATGATGAAGATCTGGCTGCCCAGGACGGCGGCGGCTGTGTACCGCCAAGGCTGAGGGCACTCGGCCTTAATGGTCCACCGGTTCTCCGAGGGGTCGTAGCACTGCACTTTGGACACCATGTCCCGGTGGATGCTGGTCCCTCCGAACACAAAGAGCTTCAGCTTGGCGCTCACCACCGCGGCATTGCTGACGCCATCCCTCAAGGGGGCCACCATCGTCCACTTGTTGGCCCCAGGGTCATACTTCTCGACCTGCTTCAGGGAGACAGAAGGGGAGGCCGGAAAGACGCCCGCCAGGGAGGTGTGCCCACCCACCACGTACAGGCAGTTCTCCAGCTCGGCCGAGCCGTGGCCGAAGCGGGCGATGAGCATGGGCGCCGCCTTGGCCCACTCCTCATGGACGGTGTCGTACACCCAGACGTCCTTGGAGACGCCGTTCTCGGAGCCCCTGCCCCCGGTCACGTAGACCTTGCAGCCAATGGCCGAGGCGCTGAACTCCTTCCGGGGGCTGGGCAGGTCTGCCTTTGGGATGATCTCCTTGGCCTTGTGGTCCACCTGGTAGATCTTGTCGCACATGAACGTCTGACCGCCCAGGATGAGGAGCGTGTGGCCCGCCTTGCGCGGCCGGGCGCAGGGGCTGGTGACCACCCCGTCGTTCTGCAGGATCCTGGTCTTGCAGCAGAGGGCCTCGTCAACGATGAGCTTGGTGCGCTCATCGGCCATGAGGAGGGCCTCGCCGGAGACGGCCTCCCTCAGGCAGTCGGAGGGCAGCAGGGCCAGCCGCACACTGCGCAGCAGCTCGGGCAGGTGGGCCTTCCGCTGCTCCAGGTCATGCCGCACCCACTGGAGCACGGCCTCGAAGACCACTCTCTCGTCCTCGGTCTCCAGCTCATCGCTCGAGATGAGGTCCAGCAGCGTGTCCTTGGACAGGCTGTTGAAGTCCTCGCTCTGCCGCACCGTCTCAAAGTGCACCAGGCACATGCGCCAGGAGAACTCGTAGAGCCGGCGGCACTGGTGCGCGTCCGACAGCAGCATCATGCCCAGGCAGTTGGAGGGGAAGAGGTTCTTCTCCAGGAAGTCGGCTGCCGCGTCCCGCACGTCGTGGAACTGCAGCATGTCGCCGGCCTCCAGCAGCGACTCGGCGTTCTCCTCGTTGATGACGATGCGCGAGGAGTAGGCGAAGTCCAGCAGCAGCTCCAGCACCTCGGGGTGCAGGTTGTCCTGGAAATTGACCGTGTCGTCCCGGCTCTCCCGCAGGCCATGGCTGAACATGGCCTCAAAGTAGCGGCTAGAAGCGGCCAGCACGGCACGGTGGCAGGGGAAGGCGCGGTCGCCCGCCCAGAGCGTGACGTCGGTGAACATGCGGTGCTTGCGCAGTGTGTTGAGGTGGGCCAGCACGCAGTCGGGGTGGGAGGCCTTGTGGAAGAGGGTGATGTTCATGGACCCCGTGCTGCTCCGCGACTTGCGGGTCTCGTGGACGCTGACTGACATGGTGCGCCGACCTGCAGGGAGCAAGCCCACAGGTGAGGGGGATCTCTGTGTGGCGTCGCTTCTGGAGGGCACAGACCCCTACTCCCTGCCCCTTAGGCTACCATGTCCTGGTGGATGCCTAGACGCCCTGTGCTCTTCCCCCACCCCTCCTCTGCCTAGCTCTGCCAACCCAACTCTTGGGACCACATCCCAAGGACAACATGAGCAAGAGCAGCTGGATCCCACCCCATCCTACGGGAACTAGCTTCATCCTCATTCTGGACCAGCTCTGAGACAGGTGCCTTGGCCCAGAGATGAGCCACCCACTGGATCAGATCCAGGACTCACACCACACGGTTGGCCATGTGGAATCCAGCAGCACCAACCACATCACTGGATGGCCCCGAGACCTTTGTTTTCATGGCCAGAGGGTACGTGAGCTTACCAGAGACAGTCAGTCAGTCAGAAAACTCTCTCTAGTGGGACATGGCCATGCCACAATCCCTCCTCCATTTTTCCATCCTGTTAAGAGTGGAAAAACGGGCACATATGCCCAGCATGTTTTTCAAGCCATCAGGGCCAAGATTTGAACTGCATGGTTGGCCATGTGGGCTCCACCTCCCTTAACCACCAGGCCATGAGGTCAGCCCTCCCAAGGCCTCTACCCAGCTAGGATGAGTGAAGGAGGAGGCAAGGCCAACTGAACAGTGACTCACCCTCAAAGCCAAGCAGTGGCCCGGATGACAGCAGGACACAGTGACACTAAGTCATCCAGATTTGTGTGCCTTGACTACAGCAGCAGGAGCGATCAGAGCCAGCAGAGCCACCCCCGAGCAGCTCCAGGGTCCTGACCACAGCGGACGCCCCACCATGTCTCCCTCTCGGCCAGGCCAGGTGCCGTGTAGCTCAGACAACCAAGTGCAGGCTCACCACCTGCTTGAACTGGGGGCATTCCAGAGCACTTTATCAGGGTCCAGCTGACAGCATAACCTAAGGCTGCTTCAGAGCTGTGGGGACGAGGCTCGGCTAACAGGCAGCAGAGCACACAGGCCTCGAGAAGGGACAGAAAACAGACCACCAGCGTCCTCGCACCCTGAAGGCCCTGCTGCCCTCCTCCTGCTGCTAATGAGGAACCAAAACAAACAAACAAAAAAAAACTGAAACTGTCTTTATCATTTCGATTTTCAAAAATATGTATCACTGCCGTCCGCTCTCAAGTCAGTTTCCTACTTCAGTAATATTCTGGTGAAGGAAGGAAGCGCTTTCATGCTTCGACGACACTGTAAATTAGCGCTGGCCCGCACAGCTCTGCTTTCCTCCCCTGGCGAAGAACCAGAGAAACCACAGGCGGACATGCTCGGAACTGCCTGGGCAAGGTTCCTGCTCCCAGGTTCCGGGCAGACAGAGTGCCAGGGACCTGCAGGGACCCAGTGGTCGGGCCTGCCACCCCCAGGCTGCTGCGCCGTCAGGTGATGGGGCTGGGGAAAGAAGCATGGGGCCCAGGTCCAGGCTGAGCACGGTGATCACCACCCGCACCCCCACTTCCCTGTACCTCAGTTTCTCCTCGGTGAAGCTAAATCCCCAGCCGGCTCATGCCTCCATGTTTCACTCTGTCGGCAATTCTTTTCTGAGCGTGTCCTCCAAGCCGGGCCCCAGGACAGGGCGTCACAAGGACCAGAGAGGCCACACTGACCCCATCCAGGGGAGGTTCTCCACAGCTCCGCCCAGGGGAGTTGCCCAACCTGAATTCCGGATCCTGCAACCCGTTTCCCCAAATCTTGCTGTGATTGCCACATCCCCACTCCAGCTTCTATCACCTCGGTCACTGGGCACGCTCTCAAATGGGGCCCTGACCCTGCAACCCTGCAGTCTCCTGCCTGGAGGAGGTGAGGGAGGCACATACTCCAGACCGGGGAAACCCGAGGGCCTTGGTGGCTCCTTCCTGGCCTTCCCCACTCGCACACTGTGCTGGATACTATTTTTTCTTTTTTCTTTTTTTTTTTTTTGAGAAAGAGATTTTTTGCTATAGGGCACATACACTTGCCAGAGAGACAGAGAAAGCGAGAAATCACCCCTCAGGGGGAAAGGCCACATGGGAAGCTCTTCTCCTCCATTCTCCTCTTGGGATTTTGGGCACGCACGTGCATGCACTGGGTCTGGAACTCTGACTGCGGTCCGCCATGTGAGTGTGTTGAGGTGGGCCAGCACGCAGTCGGGGTGGGAGGCCTTGTGGAAGAGGGTGATGTTCATGGACCCCGTGCTGCTCCGCGACTTGCGGGTCTCGTGGACGCTGACTGACATGGTGCGCCGACCTGCAGGGAGCAAGCCCACAGGTGAGGGGGATCTCTGTGTGGCGTCGCTTCTGGAGGGCACAGACCCCTACTCCCTGCCCCTTAGGCTACCATGTCCTGGTGGATGCCTAGACGCCCTGTGCTCTTCCCCCACCCCTCCTCTGCCTAGCTCTGCCAACCCAACTCTTGGGACCACATCCCAAGGACAACATGAGCAAGAGCAGCTGGATCCCACCCCATCCTACGGGAACTAGCTTCATCCTCCTTCTGGACCAGCTCTGAGACAGGTGCCTTGGCCCAGAGATGAGCCACCCACTGGATCAGATCCAGGACTCACACCACACGGTTGGCCATGTGGAATCCAGCAGCACCAACCACATCACTGGATGGCCCCAAGACCTTTGTTTTCATGGCCAGAGGGGACGGGAGCTTACCAGAGACAGCCAGACCGTCTCTGAGACAGGTGCCTTGGCCCAGAGATGAGCCACCCACTGGATCAGATCCAGGACTCACACCACACGGTTGGCCATGTGGAATCCAGCAGCACCAACCACATCACTGGATGGCCCCGAGACCTTTGTTTTCATGGCCAGAGGGTACGTGAGCTTACCAGAGACAGTCAGTCAGTCAGAAAACTCTCTCTAGTGGGACATGGCCATGCCACAATCCCTCCTCCATTTTTCCATCCTGTTAAGAGTGGAAAAACGGGCACATATGCCCAGCATGTTTTTCAAGCCATCAGGGCCAAGATTTGAACTGCATGGTTGGCCATGTGGGCTCCACCTCCCTTAACCACCAGGCCATGAGGTCAGCCCTCCCAAGGCCTCTACCCAGCTAGGATGAGTGAAGGAGGAGGCAAGGCCAACTGAACAGTGACTCACCCTCAAAGCCAAGCAGTGGCCCGGATGACAGCAGGACACAGTGACACTAAGTCATCCAGATTTGTGTGCCTTGACTACAGCAGCAGGAGCGATCAGAGCCAGCAGAGCCACCCCCGAGCAGCTCCAGGGTCCTGACCACAGCGGACGCCCCACCATGTCTCCCTCTCGGCCAGGCCAGGTGCCGTGTAGCTCAGACAACCAAGTGCAGGCTCACCACCTGCTTGAACTGGGGGCATTCCAGAGCACTTTATCAGGGTCCAGCTGACAGCATAACCTAAGGCTGCTTCAGAGCTGTGGGGACGAGGCTCGGCTAACAGGCAGCAGAGCACACAGGCCTCGAGAAGGGACAGAAAACAGACCACCAGCGTCCTCGCACCCTGAAGGCCCTGCTGCCCTCCTCCTGCTGCTAATGAGGAACCAAAACAAACAAACAAAAAAAAACTGAAACTGTCTTTATCATTTCGATTTTCAAAAATATGTATCACTGCCGTCCGCTCTCAAGTCAGTTTCCTACTTCAGTAATATTCTGGTGAAGGAAGGAAGCGCTTTCATGCTTCGACGACACTGTAAATTAGCGCTGGCCCGCACAGCTCTGCTTTCCTCCCCTGGCGAAGAACCAGAGAAACCACAGGCGGACATGCTCGGAACTGCCTGGGCAAGGTTCCTGCTCCCAGGTTCCGGGCAGACAGAGTGCCAGGGACCTGCAGGGACCCAGTGGTCGGGCCTGCCACCCCCAGGCTGCTGCGCCGTCAGGTGATGGGGCTGGGGAAAGAAGCGTGGGGCCCAGGTCCAGGCTGAGCACGGTGATCACCACCCGCACCCCCACTTCCCTGTACCTCAGTTTCTCCTCGGTGAAGCTAAATCCCCAGCCGGCTCATGCCTCCATATTTCACTCTGTCGGCAATTCTTTTCTGAGCGTGTCCTCCAAGCCGGGCCCCAGGACAGGGCGTCACAAGGACCAGAGAGGCCACACTGACCCCATCCAGGGGAGGTTCTCCACAGCTCCGCCCAGGGGAGTTGCCCAACCTGAATTCCGGATCCTGCAACCCGTTTCCCCAAATCTTGCTGTGATTGCCACATCCCCACTCCAGCTTCTATCACCTCGGTCACTGGGCACGCTCTCAAATGGGGCCCTGACCCTGCAACCCTGCAGTCTCCTGCCTGGAGGAGGTGAGGGAGGCACATACTCCAGACCGGGGAAACCCGAGGGCCTTGGTGGCTCCTTCCTGGCCTTCCCCACTCGCACACTGTGCTGGATACTATTTTTTCTTTTTTCTTTTTTTTTTTTTTGAGAAAGAGATTTTTTGCTATAGGGCACATACACTTGCCAGAGAGACAGAGAAAGCGAGAAATCACCCCTCAGGGGGAAAGGCCACATGGGAAGCTCTTCTCCTCCATTCTCCTCTTGGGATTTTGGGCACGCACGTGCATGCACTGGGTCTGGAACTCTGACTGCGGTCCGCCATGTGCGAGCCCAGTGACATAGCCATCTGCTGGTCCTGAAGGATACTTTGTAATTAATTCATTTTTTCCATTAATAGAGGGAGATGCAGACAGGCACCCACAACAGGAACTCTCGATGCCGCAATCCACCCCCAGCCTCCTGGTGCAACACGTTTTATGAAAAAGCCGGCGGGGGGCTTAGGGAGCTGAGGACCAGGAAGAATTCCAAACAGGGACCTGGGACCCCTCCAGGCCCGAGCCTTCAGGCCTGGGGTCAGATTCAAGGGGTGTGACGTGAAAGCTCAGCCTCAGTTCCTCCCTCCACACACTGGGTCCCTGAGTACCCTGCCACGCCGTCCCTGCCCTCCACCCAGGCCACGTCTGAACTAACGCAGAATGCCACTTGAGCACTTGGGTGCGGTCGCCCCACCCCGTGTGTGGTGCCAAGCTCCTCTGGGATCTTTTCGCAGATGGCGGGTTGGAATTCCTGCTCTTCTGCTACCTACAAGGCCCTGGAGCCAGGACAACAGCAGTATCTGCTCCAACGCTGGGGAACGGACGTAGCACACTGCTGGCGATGGGGTGAGGCTGGGGACTCTTTGGAGGGGGTGGCAGGAGGGACAAAGAAAGACTGAAGGCTGAGAAGATGCCAAAAGGCAGAGCAAACCCAGAGAGGGCCACCATACACCCGGCCAGTCTGCCCTGATTTTTCCCTTCTCGTGTAAGCATGTCACTTGCTACCAGGACTTGCAGGGGACTCCAAGCCCTGGATCGATGATCAGGGGCTGCGTGCATTAGTCAGGGGTCTTAGCTACTCCGTTCACCTCCAGGGAGCCCATGTGGGGCCAAGGGTGCTGGTTCTGTTATGTTGATTATGTTTGGTTGATTAAGTTATATTGATTACATTCAGAAGGCTTAGTATCGCTGGACTCTCACAAAGTCAAGTGTGGTTCAAGTCCGGGACCTGGTAGCTTAAAACTCATGCTGGGTGCTTATGTGTGCATGCTGAAAGAGAAGAGAAGGAATTGCAGTGTGGCCATTCCCGGGGGGTAGGGGGGGTGATTTCTCGCTTTCTGTCTCCCCAATGAGTGCATTCACCCTGTAACAAAAACCTCTCTTAAAAAAAAAAAAAAAAAAAAAAAAGAAAAGAAAAGAAAAGAAAAAGGAATCTAGGTAGATAGGGCCATCCCCAAGCTCTACCTAGATAGGTTCACCCTCAA